CTTCTAGTTAGAACACAAAGTAAAATTAAGTTTATGTCTGATTCTCAATTTTTGGGATAATAGATTTTGTAATAGCGATTTTTTGGAGAATACGTGGTTAAAATTATGGAATGATTTTTAGTTTACGTGTAAAATTATTTTATTGAGAGAGAATATGTGATTGAAAATGAATTTTAAGAGAACGAGGTTCGAACATGAGCTAAAGCACTACTTCTTATTGCCTTATTCTTGAATTGTTCAACTTAATGGAAATTATTATAAGTGTAGGTCTATTGATAGCAATAGAAGAGTTAGATAATATGTGACAAAATAAAGACTACAACACACATGTGACGATGGAGCTTATTCAATGATTATGATAAGTCGGATAAGCCATAAGAAGACTCAAAAATCGACTCCAACAATAAGCCTCGGATCACTCGTTCGAATTCAAATATATCCTATTTTATTGTTTCCTTCTCTCCATCTTCTATCCTCAACGAGTTCTGTACCTATACAGGATAAACACATTGGGGGTGGGTGGGTAGAAAAATCAATTTTTTATTCACATGGGGTCCACCCTCCATGTGAGTAAAATTCAAAATTCTGTTGGAAAATCTGTAGAAATTTTATGTACTCGGAGCATTTTTGATCCTCAACACCCCTCTCTTCCACTCAACTCTCGACCATCTTCTATTTTGGCAAAGATAAAATAGTTTTTATTTTTTTTAAAGTTTATGATGCACAAATTTCAAAATATATGAGAATTTCGAAAACTAATGGAATAAGTTGTTGTCTATAAAAACTTGGACCCTAAAAATTTATAAAATTAGGACATTTTTTGTGTAAAATGTATTTTGAAATAGTAAATTGAAAGTGAATGTATGGTTAAAAACGAACGAAAAGTTTTTGGGTTGTGTGTAATATTATTTTATTGTGCAGTTAAAAAGAAAAAAGAGAGAAAATGTATTTTGAAAATATGAGGATCAAACAAGGCATGTTCAAGAAATATTATTATTTTCTTGTAATTTAAAATCAAAGTCAAATTAATTTTAATCACATGTTCATAACTAGTCCACTTATTGTGTATACATTTTGTCGAACATTAACTCTCTTATTTATAATTTCTTCAAAATAGATACTGAGTAACAAAAGTAAAATAAAATAAAATATAGGGAAAATTGCAGCCACGGTACCAAATATTTCATTTTGTTGCAGACTTTATTCAAAACTTTCGTTTGTACCACCGTGATACCAAACCTTTCAAAAATATGCACTTAGAGTCTAAATGGATGGAAACCGTTGATTTGACCATTAGTTGACTATAGAATTAGAGTTCGACTTATTTTGATCAATTTTTAAAAGGGCAACGTGGTAAATTTAGATTTTTTGCAAAAAAGAGAGAAAGAAACACAATTATATTAACTTATAAATCAAAAATAAAGAAACAAAGACAGAAAATAAAAACTACCCCAAAATCATCGCCACCTAATGACGCCTTCACCATCACTACCACCTTCTCCACGACGTCGACACCAGTCACACCACAGTCGCCTCTAAGGCGGCACCACCGAAATTTCCCTATCCACACCAACAAATTAACTATTTTAGCTGCCTCACTCATATTTCTATCCTAAAACCAAACCCAAAACATCATGAGCTGGAACTGTGTACTGTATTTTCTATCTCCACCGCCTGCAACTTATTACCTTTCCACTGTCGAAACCACACACCCTCCCATATCTCAGTTCTCCAGCTCGTTCATCACGCCATTCCATTCACCACTAACGCCACCACCTACTGAACACTAACACCACCACTATTACAGCAAGAACCCGCTAACACCACCTGTTTAATCACCGCTTCCAATTGAAACCAATAACACCAGCATATACTGAACCACCACAGCAAGACCCCACAACTAATTCACTAGAAATCAACAGTAGAAGACTCAGAAAAATATTAACACAAATCAACTAATTCATACACATGTTTCATTTGTCTTGCCGGTCACAAACACAATACAATCCACCACTATTTTATTGGTTGTTCAATGTGGTTGGTGTTACTATTGATGATTTGGGTCTCCATTGAAAACTTCTGGGATGTGATCGATTATGATGTTGAGAGATGAATTGATCTAGATCTAGGATGCCATCGATTATGAGGTTGAGATAGAATATGAGGTCTCCATTGGCATGATCGATGGTGACTGGCGTGTGGTGGCATCGACGTTGGGTGGTTGGTGATTTTCAGGTAAAGGGGTTCGGGAAAGAAGGGGATGGTCATGGTGGTATTTGTTTTTTTTATTTAGTAATTAGTGGTTTATGTTTTTAAAAATGTGAAATTACCATTTTATCCTTTTAAATCTTGTCAAAATTATGGTCAATATAAATTCTTTGGTCAACTAACGGTTAACCAACGGTTTCCATTCATTTGGACTTCAAATGCGAATTTTTGAAATATTTTGTATTCATGGTGGTACAAATGAAATGTTCGAACAAAGTTTGCAACTGACTAAAAAGTTTGGTACTGTGGCTACAATTTTCCCTAAAATATATGACATCAACAAATTATGGAAAAATCTAAGTGTACATAATTTGG